GAAACCTATTACCTCGTAGGACGATGTGGTGGATAAATCCACTAGGATATAGGTACTTTATATCTAATCTTTGGTGTTGGATGTCCTTGCAAAATACCCAACTCTACTTCCCAACTATAAGGTAACCGATGATTTGCTTTTCTTGTTAGACCAAACTGAGCAGAGATTGTGTATTCCTCACCAGGAAGAAATTAAAAGTCTGCTTATTGGGGAATGTCACGACGTTGAAGGTCATTTTGGTTTCAAGAAAACTTACGCTGAGGTTAGAGAACACTTTGAGTGGAAGGGATTGAAAGAAGACGTACTAACTTATGTTCGTACATGTCTTGTGTGTCAGAGAAACAAACCCTCACATGAGAATCCACTTGGTCTTCTGAAACCATTACCGATTCCAAACGAACCAGGTGATTCTATCTCGATTGATTTCATGAGCCTCACCAAAAGTCGGAATGGCAATAGTCAAGTAATGGTTATTGTGGATCGCTTCTCTAAGTATGTCATGTTTATTCCCTTAACCGCAGAAGCACAAACTGAACTTGTGATCCAAAAGTTTCAGATGCGATGGGTGACTGTGTATGGTTTCCCTTTCTCCATTGTATATGACCGTGATGCCGGGTTCACGAGTATGCCATGGCAAAAGCTGATGGAAGCATACGGTACACGTTTGGCCATGTCGTCAGGGCGACACCCTGAAACGAATGGACAGAGTGAATAGATGAACCGTTTGTGCCAGCAGCTTCCGCGCATGTATGTGAGACCCGATCAGATTGATTGGGATGAGAACTTACCCAAAATAGCAAGTGCATACAATAGTGGTGTCCACACCACTACAGGGCGAACACCAAACGCATTGCATAAGGGGTGGAAACCTAAGCGTCCCATTCATGTGCTGACAAGGGACCAATTCCTTAGGTTACCTCTAGGGACCCGGGCGTATGCAGTATTGTTTCAAGAAGACATTAAGAAAGTAAAGGATAATCCAAAGAAAGCTCAAGACCGGATGATTGAACAAGCTAATAAGCATCGTCGACCATAGACAATCGAGGTAGGTGATCTCGTCTGCGTGAAGTCCAAAGAGTTTTCACTAGAAGAAGATGTGTCTAAAAAACTATTGCCTATCTATTTTGGACCCTGGGAAGTTCTTAAAGTAATTGGGGATGCAGAGGGACCATCTTACCAAATTGATATTCCCCCTCACCTCAAAACGTATCCTGTCTTTCACGCGTCCAAATTGCTACCTTATGTAGAAGGAAATGAGTTCCCACATAGACCGTCTATGATTCCGCCAGACATGGACGGCGGATATGAAGTGGACAGAATCACAGAGCATGGGTACTTTTTTACAGGTGCATGTGGACGACCTCAGAAGCAGTTCAAGGTACGTTTCAAGTCTCAAGCACCATCTGAGGACAGATGGTTTAGTAAAAGAGAACTACTTCAAACTGCTCCCGATATTGTTGCTGCTTATGAACGAGGGTTAAGGTCTTAAATATTTCTGCGGTGAGACTCGAAAATGGGCCGGCAGGAATGCATTAACCCTGTTGAGAAGTAGCCTGGGGCTCAGAACTCAGCCCCAGGAAACGCAGTCCTGAGTTGGTATGCGCTGGGCTGTGTGACCAAGACACGCCCAGGCCTGAGTCTGTCGAGTGTTGCTGTGTGACCGAACGCTGCAGACAGGAAATTCAAGAGTCAAAGTCAAGTGTAGAGTCAAAGCCCTTGGTTGGATACACTCACTTGTTGTGCGCAGGTAACTAGACAGCATCCAGGCCGGAGGGAATTCGGTTTCAAGCCAATCTGAGCCCTCATTCACATTGAGATTTGGACGGCTGAGGAATACAGCATCCGGGGTCCAGACCCCGCGTCAACACTACATAAGAGCTGACTTCCTGGCTTTGACATTCATTCAGTCTTGCGTCAATGCTGACTTCACGCATTGACTGTGACGCTGGTGCGACGCTGCGACACTGGCTGGATGCATGCTCTACGCTGGCATATGAGCAGAGACAGCGACGTGCTGCTGGCTGGCAATTATCTTCTTGGCATGCTGACGTGGCAGCTGCCACGTGCAGCCGCTGATGTGGCTGCTGCCACATGTACTCTGACGTGGCGGGGCTACATGATTGATAGTGCTGTTCTGATTCATCGTCACTTCGGAAGGAAACCAAGACTGTGGGGTTATCCTAGATACGTACCTGGTATTTTGATGTCAACATTCTAGGAGGGAGCCCGAAGCAGGAGTGGGCATTGTTGATTTCTCCCCTCTCAGTCTATTCTTCCCTCTCTCTCCTTCGTCTGTGTATGTCCCATCTCATTCTATCTGGACACAAATATGATTATTTGACATTCATCAGCAGGTTGATATCTACATGGGCTGGCATTGTTGACAAGTGTCTTCACGATCTGGGTTCATTGCAGAATTCCCAATGGACCACGTGTCAGATATGAAACTGACCGGAACAGATGGTACATGATCGTGATCCTTCTTTTTTTTTTTTGGGGGGGGG